TTTATGGCTTTGAAATTTAATTTTTTATACACCTTTTTCTATGTTTTAAATTAATAATTTATTATTTACTTAATTAATGTATACATTATTATTTTGTGCTTCTACTTAAAAATAATAATAATAATTATTTTTTATTATTATTATTACTATTATTATTGTTTTTTTTATTATTATTACTATTATTATTGTTTTTTTTATTATTATTACTATATTATTGTTATTTTTATTATTATTACTATTATTATTGTTATTTTTATTATTATTACTATTATTATTATTATTATTATTATTATTACTATTATTATTGCCTCAAATTGAATAAAATGATAATTGAATTATGAAATGAATTAATTTGTAATATTTTGTTTCAGATGTTGGAGAAGTAGACTCGTTTGTGGGACAAAATACTCCCTCATCTTCAGTGCTACCTCCATTTTCTGCAGCTCCAATACAGAGTAAACCTGGGAATTCTTCAATTCTTGCTCCGGAACTGCAAAGGAGTTTTTCACCTGGTCACAATCCTCTTGTATCATCAGATATCAAACCAATAACTTTTTTCACTAGTCAATCTAATACATCTGCAGATCCATTTTCTTTTCCTCCTTCAACTCTTCCCCAATTATACCAGCCCTCTCTACCACATACTGCTCCTGTCTCTGAACCAGTATCACGTTCTTTTAGTGGCAGGTCTACACCTTCTAACTATGATTCGAGACCAACATCATCTGTGCCTCTCCTTTCTCCAGCACAAATAGGACAGCCATTCACTGCAGCCACTGTTGCAAACACTAATTTAGTTTATTCACAAGTACCTCCAGTGACTCCAGTTTCTAATTCTTCCAATTCTTATTTCAAGCCTTTATCTCCTGTGCCTTTTACTAGTTCTCAGGGAGATTTTCTTTCCAAACCATCTCCTTTAATAACTCCTTCATCAGCTAGTAATCCAGCTAGTCACCTATCTCCATCTCTGATAACTCCTCCTCCACCATCTAATGTTCCACCTTCTGGAATAACTCCTCCTCCTTCTAATGTGTTACGTCCTGTTGTAACTCCTCCACCGACAAGTGTACCATTTAGTCAGCAGTCTGCATTACTTACTCCTGCTCCTGCTGTAACACCTGTGCCTCTTACTTCAGGAGCGGTTCCTGGTGAGTTGATTGTAATTTAACTCTCAATATTGCAGTTTAGTGTACTCCATACACATGTGCACAATCTCGCATTGCTCTTGCATGTTGCAAGTGGGTAAGCAAGATCAATATTAGTATATATTTATGCTTGCTGTAGATGTGGTAAATATCTTTTTAATTTGCAGGTTCTGGAACTAACACTTATCGATTAGGAAATCAAAGGAAATTGCAGTACGCTCAACCTCCTGGCCTATCAGTTTCGTCTTCTCCTTCAGTTTATTCTCCCGCCACCATCAGTGCTCCTCCATCCACACCCTTTTCTTCTACGTTTACGAATTCATCTCCTGTTCCAGAGCCATTATCTGAATTTTCCAGCACTTCCTTCACATCATCTCCTTTTGTACCAACCCCTCTCGAAGAACTTCAGTCACTTCCATCAATCACAACCCTTTCCACGCCATCTTCTACCTCTTCATTTCACTTTCCTTCTCAGAATTCTTATGTTTCTCCATCGGCAGGTGGTAATTTAACAAACTCATTTTCATCACCTGCTGTTCCTCCTACTTCCCAACACTCTATTCCTTCAGTTGCTTCTTATTTCCCTTCACCAATTGTTGCTGCTGCCAACGCAATGGCAGCAACTGTTGCAGCTGCAAATGGAGCACCTCAGTTTCAAACCCCTTCACAAACTCCTACTGATGCATCTGTAATCCCTGCATCTTTCAACAATTTGGTAAGTGATTTTATAATAAATGAATAATTAGATAAATATAAAAATAAATAATATTACAGACATTTATTACCTTTTTTATTGTTAAAACCTATCAATGTAATGGTGCTTTTTAAAAAGATTTCATGTTTGTTGTAATAATTTCAGTTCAATCTTATTCTGTGAAGTTTATCCAAGCAAGAAATATTGCTTTAGAAATTACAGTACATAATTTTTGTCATTTTCTTCACTTTACGTTTTGATGTAGAAAACAATGTGTAAAACCTGTGTAATGTTCACATCTCTAATCAATTTTTCAGAGTATTGGTCAACCTACATACAGGCCAGTGTATCATCATTGGTTTCTGAAAAAGGAAATTGAAAGTAAAGTGCTATGGCAACCTTTTTCAATGGCTGATTCCTTAGCTTTAGAAGCAGCTTTTACTTCAAGTAAGTTCAGTTTCTATTATCAAATTAGCCAATTTTATTTATTTTTATGTTAAAATGTTTTTTCTATGTGAATTTTCAGCGGATATTTCTCCTGATACTGTTGTTGCTACTGATGGTGGTCGTTATGATGTAAATATTCTGCGTCGACAAAGAACTGCTGTATATTGGGAAGAGAATCCATCAGAAGTTCGACGTTGCTCATGGTTCTACAAAGGTGCAATTGACAGCCGCTATGTGCCCTATGAAGAAAGTGTTGCTACTAAACTTGAAGAAGAGTTTAAAATTGCTATGAACAAAAATGAGTGGCATCGACGTGTTGAATTGGCACATGGCGAAACTGTTGTATTTCATGGTCCTAATGTTATGGTTCATTTTCCACAAGCAGCATCACCAGATGCTTGGGGAAATACTCCAGTAAGTTGAAACATTTTTAATTTCTTTTTTTTTTTTTCCAGATTGTGTTTAAACAGAGCAAGTCACCTTTATAATGAACGTTGTATAGACAGAATTTTATATGAATGTATTATCAACGCATAAACATTTCATAATGTTTTGCCTCATAATTTTGTATTCATTGTTCTGAGGTTTGTTATTATGTATAAGTTTACCTTCGCAAACTCTTTATTACAACCATCCTCTAACCTCCACATTGGATACATTGTAGTTGTCCTCAAATTGTTTTGCATGAATGCTTAAGGGTGACTTTTAACACAAAGTGAGGAGAACTGATGGGGGTGAAGGATGCCGAGGAATTTGAAAAAGGACAAAGCACAAGGAACTCCCATCACAAACAACTATAGTCCCCTCTCATTTTCAATTTAATGAAAGTTAGGGGAGGTGGGAGTCCGCACTTCACGACTTGAATTTATGATTCTTATTTATATTCTTCAAACTGAAGAATTTCCAAGTAATTCAGATGTGGCCCATTATTTTATTTGGTTGCAATCCATCAGTTTTCTGTTCGTGGCAAAGTATGATATTGCTTTGTAGTACTAATGCAAAGCTTTTACTACTCTTCAGTTTAAAGCTTCTACCTGAATGTTAAAGTACTTTGTAGAGTCAGAATATAGGTATTGAAAGAGTGATACTTTCACAGTAAAACTATGTGTGTTTACATTTAGGGTTGAAATAATTAATTATGTTCTGTTTAAAATATTTCAAAACGCATTAATATCAAAATAATGCAAAATATTGAGTGCATAATTTCAAATTTCATTTTGAATACTATTTTCTAAACATTATGTCTTAGTGTTGAATCCTAATAATTATATTGTATATACAAAAATTAAAATTAAAATTAAAATTTAAAAACTTTAACATATCTCAATAATTTAGACACTCTTAGTTCAATAGACTCATTATCCCATTAGTCAGTTTCTATGGGACTTACTTATTGTATTTTTATTTTTGCTGTATTATTATTCTACTTTTTTCATATTGAAATAATTTTTGACTTCAAGAAGTTCTTCTGTTCTGTGTTAACTTCCTTATACTTTGTCAGCAGGTACCCACACGTCCTCGTGTTGTTAAACGAGGTGTTGATGAGTTTGATATTGAAGAAGGAGAGCCTCCTGTAGTTGACCATTTGTTGTTTTTGGTACATGGTGTAGGTTCTGCATGTGACCTTAAATTTCGCACTGTTGAAGAAGTTGGTAAGAATACAGTTTTTTTAAACTTAGAAACAAGAAATTATATATGTATGATGTTGATGTTGAATTTTAAAACATTTTTAGTTTAGGAGATATTTTCTCTTCAATGATACAATAGTAAACCAAGCAATTGTTTAATCTCCTTTTATAAAATGGTATATTTGGTGATTTTATATATTTATCATTGGTTATTTCTCTTACAGTGGATGACTTCCGAAGTTTGTCTCTTCAGTTAGTCCAGTCTCATTTCCGAACTTCTGTTGAACAAGGAAAAGTGAATAGGATTGAAGTGCTCCCAGTATCTTGGCATTCAACTCTACATGGTGAAGACACAGGGATTGATCAAAAACTGAAATGTATTACGTTGCCAAGCATACCAAAATTAAGGCATTTTACTAATGACACCTTACTTGACATTCTGTTCTATACAAGCCCAGTTTTTTGTCAGGTTAGAAAATATAATTTCATCTTGTGTACAGATACAATGTAAACCTTTTATCTTACACTCAATAATACTTTTTGCAGACCATCATACATACTGTGGGCAAGGAAATCAATCGTCTGTATGAATTGTTTAGAAACAGACATCCAAACTTTCAAGGTGGAATATCTGTGGGTGGTCACAGTCTGGGATCACTAATTCTCTTTGATCTTTTATGCCATCAAAAAGATCCACAAACACCAACCACAGAAAAGGAATCAAAGTTACAGTCTATTCCTAGTGAAGATTCAGCTGATCCTACTACTTCGGTATGAATATCAAATACTTAAATTTGTGATGTATGTATTAAGTTTGGAGAGTAATTATTAGAATTATTTTTGTTTTCCCTGGGAATCTGTGTAATTACTCGTTTAACATGCCAATTCTCAATGGAATACACTGTCAATACAACATTTAAAATAATATTGTGTATTTCACTGTGAAAGATTGTTTTAAAACTCTCCATTTTAGGATGAAGTTACTGCAAAGGATTCTAATACACTTAGTGCCCAGAAAGTGCCCCCTCATCTGCGGAGATTGAGTCATCGAGTCAGTTATGTGATGGGAAATGCTGGCACAGGACAACCTTTCATTACGTACCCACAACTTAATTTCCATCCAAAAGCCTTTTTTGCTATGGGTTCTCCAATTGGTGAGTGGGAAAAAATAAAAAGTGTTTTGTAGTGTATTTATTACTTTGCATTGTAAAATACATCTTGTTTATTTTATTTGCAGGTATGTTTGTAACAGTGAGAGGAATTGATGCCTTGGGTGAAGACTTCAAGTTACCTACATGTCCAGGATTCTTTAATATCTTTCATCCATTTGATCCTGTCGCCTATCGCATTGAAACTTTAATTAATCCAGATTTATGCAATCTAAAACCTGTCATGATTCCTCACCACAAGGGTAGAAAAAGAATGCACTTAGGTAATTGTTGTGCTAAACATTATTTTTTAATTGTCTTACTTCATCTGAAACCATAATGAAACTATTACATCCTTTGTTTTTACTAGAACTGAAAGAAACTATGGCCAGAGTTGGAGCTGATTTAAAACAGAAATTTTTGGACTCTGTCCGAAGTACATGGAATACTGTATACCAAATAGCTATGTTTCATAGGTCAGATGCAAATGCTTTGGAGCAAGAAGTGGATAAGGTATGCAAGTCAAGGGTTGGACAGTGTCAAATTTTAAGTTGAGAAAACTTTGTACTTACACGTTTACATGTTTCAGGTAATAGAAGAGCAGTTACAGCATCAAGAAACTGAGAGCTCACATTCAGAGGAACCCGATCCAGATGTGGCAGTAGGACAACTTAATAGTGGTAGGAGGGTTGACTATGTTCTTCAAGAAGCACCCTTGGAGAGTTTCAATGAGTATCTGTTTGCTCTTGGAAGCCATGTTTGCTACTGGTGAGCTCAGTTTTAAGAAATCAAAGAAATTCCTTTTTATTATAATGATAGTCATTGTCATCAACATCATCATCATCATCATAATCATCTTCATATTTATAATCCTTTTTAATAATTTTCAGGGAATCTGAAGACACAATGTTGATGATATTGAAAGAAGTGTACAATGCAATGGGTATTTCCGCTGACAGTAACGTTCATCCAACAAATGCTACATATGAGAGACGTCATTCTGGTTCTGCCACAACCCCAGATTTACACTCTTATCAGGACAGTTTGTTTGCTACTCCAAGTTCCAGTATATCACAATTTGTGGGTGAAAATACTGACAACAGGCTTGACCAACAGACTGCTGTAGTAAGTTCAGAAAGCAGTGGTAAGGTCTCGCCATCTACCCCCCAAACAGTGAATCAGTCACTGGGGGCTGGTTCTTCCAACCGGCCCACAACATTGGGGATGGACCCAACAGCACCACCTTCTGAAAACAAAAATTTAGGGCCACCTCCCATATCTGGCTTTATGAGAAAGTAATCTGTGATTAATGAAGTTATTTAAAATGTAAAGAAATATTTTATGAGTGTTTAAATATTTTTAATCATCAAGATGTAATATTGTATATAAATTAATGGAAATTGAGGATGCTTCTTAGAGTTACTATTTCTTGTTATTGTTTTTGTTTCTGATTAGTAATTTATATATTGTTTTGAAGCACAGTTTTCAAGAAGGCAGTATTAAATAAGTTAATATTAAATGGATGCTGGTAATATTTATAAAAAGTGTACATGGTTGTTGTGATTAATCCCATGAAATTTTCTGGGAATATTTTAATAGAGCCATACTGTGTATGGGTGTGTACTTACAATAAGCTGTATATTTTCACTTTTTTAATTCTTGGAACTCTGTTACAAAAGGAATAATTGTTTTCTTAACTGAGGTTGTACAAGCTTTCTGTGTATAAAGTATCTATTGAAACTAAAAACTTGTTTTCTTTCGTCTATATGAAAACTATGAGTTTGGGAATTATAACTTTTCTGAAAAGGGAGGACCAATGTATAATTAAATTCATAATTTTAAAGTAAAAAATTGTGGTATGTCCTATTTGTCAGATATTTTAAAGTGCTGGTGAACTTCAGTTTAATTTGAATCAGATGGCGAGCGAGACGTTAACATGTTTAAGTATTTATTTTTAACTCATTCTCTCATTCATTTATTCCCTTTTTAGTCTTTGTTCAATTGCCTTACTATAACAGATGTTCAGTTTGTTTACTTAAGATCTGGTGTTTTTATACTTCATTGCATTTCCTTCATATATCCTTGTTCTCCATTCTTCTTATTTCTTTCCACACAAATATTGAACAAATCTCAGGAAACCTTCATGTTATGTTTTTTTATAAACCCAGGTTACTGGTTTGAATTCAGGACACTTTTTAATTTAACTGATCATTTGTGGTGTATTGACAATGTTGTATTGAATGATGAAATAATTGAAGTTGTCTCCATCAACTTAATGGAGATCACTTCAGTTATTTCATTATCCATTAAGTTGATGGAGATGACTTCAATTATTTCATCATTTGATTATGTCAATGATACCTCTTCAGCTTTCCCAGTAATATTGTATTTGTTGTTTAAAATTGTGTAATAAGTGTAAGGAAGGAAAATAGACATTGGAACTGTTCCATGCAATTTTCGTTTAGACTCCTCTCGAAGGTCAGCGTTACGCTGCGAAAAAAGAGTGGGTCATCGTAGCTTTCGCGTTCGCCAGACAGATGTTCCATTCATTGTCAATGCCGGGAGGACGCAGGTATTTATATAGTGCCTCGCAGCCCCACATTCACCTTTCTCACACTTTTCTCGCGCGTCTCTGAAACGGTTATCAGGAAGACGATGCGCTTTTAAGCCGCGTGTGGCGCTATGAGAATCGGGTCTGGGGACGAGATGTTCTTTTAATTGGTCGCGCTTCTCCCAACCGGGAGAGCGATCCGTTTCGCGTCTTGTTCTGTGGGAAACAGACAAGCTGCGTGGCGTGGTAACGGCGTCACTACGGCGGAGGACGGCGTCAGCGGTTTCTGGAGTGCTGGCAGGCAGGACGGGCGACCGGGTGAAAGGCCACTTAAAGCTAGCAGCGAGCGCCCCGAAACCAAACTTTAATATCTTTCGAGTTTTAGTTTCTTTGTGTATGAGCCCATTAATGCTACTTGTTTATTTGTGCAGCCCTGATTTTTTGAAAATGTGAAATGAAATATTGTTTTTTCTTAGGGCCTAAAATTAGCCTTTAATTTTTGATAGGGTTTCACATTTTTTTTCTGAGTTTGTTTTTTTTTTTAGTATGTCGGCCCTTAAGAACGAGTGTTACTTCTTTTTCTTTGTACAGTACTCATTTTTGGATAATATGGGATGGAACAATTTGTTCCCCAGAGCTTTTAATTTTGAATATGGTTTCATTTTTCCCGGGGGGGGGGGATGAGGGAGTTTGTGTGTATAGTGGCCCATAAGAACGTATGTAACTTGTTTCTCTTTGTACAGCCCTAACTCAGAAAATACAAGCCAGAACAGATTTTTTATGTATTCTTTAATTTTGGATGCATTTTCGTTGACTGGCAATACTCGTATTTTCTAGCCGGACGCTGCTAGCTTTAGACCGAACCTAGCAGCATCCACGATTTTAAAAAATGCACAAGAACCTAAAATTCGGAAGTGGAGCACTTAATTAGGTATTAATTTTGAATGTGTTGTGTCGGGGTTTGGTTTTTTTAGGCGATGGCTGGGGCGAGCGGTGAGGCCCAGGCGGCGGGGCGGGGTGGGGGGTGGGGCCGGGCCGGGCCGAGATGGTGCCACGCGTGCGGTGGAGCGGCCGGGCGGGGTGGGGGGGCGGAAAGGAGCCTAGGTCAGGTTTAACGCTAGGGGCGCGAATGAGAGCGTGGCGGCGGGCGGAGCAAGCCTCGCGGTGAGCGGGAGCGCGCGCAGTCCGCACTGGAGAAGCAGTGGTGCGGGTGCTCCTCCTTACACATCTGGCTCGCCGCCTTGCACCACGTTTGGTGCGGCGCCGCGCGCGGCGTGTGTGTGTGTCATCCCACCCCCGCGCCGGGGACCATCGTGCTTCAGTGAGCGTTGCGTGTGTCCTCTTCGCCCCCGGGCGGGCACCGTGTCTTCAAGGCGGTGCCCCCCCCACCGCTGGTGGCGATGATGGTGTTATTCTCTGCCGAAATAACGAGAATATTTGTGGTGAGTATTGGGGCCAGTCTGGCACGCGGCACCTTCAAGACGGGTTATGTAGATTACGCACCGTCCTCGGGAAATGACACTATGTTTAGTTTTCTTCTCGTTACTTTCAATCTTTCGTTCACGAATTTCGTTGAAGCAACAAATTTTAAAGATATCTTTCGAATAACATATTTGTGAGAAAATAATTTTTTTATTGTCTAAAATGTACTGCGGAGCCACTGAGTGCTTACCTCTATATTGAGGCACATGTTTCTTGGAAATGAATATGCAACTCAATTTCTTTTTATGAACTTTACTGTAAATGTTTTTTCAATCTTGTATATTGTTAGGGATGCCAAAAATACTCGGAGCCTAGTAATGGTTGGGCTGACTTCAAACGTATTTCTCTTAGAAAATTTGACAACAAAAACCAGTTAAATGAAGGTCTTACAATTTTTGGGTAGTTATCATTTTGGCAGTTTCAAGTAATTTTAGGTCCTGTCTTATTTTAAAGTATTTTCTACAGTTTTACTTTATTTAATGCAACAAATCAAATGACTAAACTATGCAATCTTGAAACCTCCACACACGGCGTAAGGAGGAATTTCCTTCCTGTTTCAACATGAACGGTTAAGTTGTAGTAGCGATAAATATATTGATGAAGGCACAGCATGGGATACAATGATAGTTCATAATACTCAGACCAAGGAACTCATTTAATTCCTCAGGTGGTGTCATAGGAAATTCTTCTCCTGGGGTGATAGTGTTGATAGTAATTCTCAGAAACTCGCAGCATTCTTGAGAAAACATTTAAAAAGTCCGCCGAAATGAATTGTCAAATACACGGGACAAAAATCACTGTTCAAAGTTTTGCTGGGGTCAGCTAGTGCGGCGGGTGACAAATCGCCAACTTATGTTTTGGGGTAATTCTTCAGGGGGCACATTGGCGTAGTTGAGGAGGAATTGTCTCTAATATGGTTGAAGTGATTTTGCATGTAGTTCATGTTATTAAGATTTTAAATGAGTGCTATTTTGTTTCACGAAATTTTGAATTATCAATGTTATTGCAGTACGTACTCTTCAACTTCGTCTTGGCATATTATAGATGTGGTTTGTGACCGTAAAATGCTCCGAAAATAGTGATGTTTGCGTATTAATACGCTCCTGCTTTAACTGGGATGAAAGCTTGTTTTCTTATAGCGTAGTAGTGTTACTTCTCTCATTTATCGTTTTTGCTGTGGTCTACAAGTGCTCTGTACTAATTGGTGGAGGGACTACGATGATTGGGTGTGGATGGGAAATTATTCCTCCAGGAAGGGCATCAGAAGAATTTTTATTAATGTGAAAAAATATAAATTTTCGGTAGAATATACTAATGTCACGAATTAGGGCTAGGCGGCTAATACAATCCGGCAATATCTCGTTACGTTTTGCTAACTCACGTTTACCCAAGAAGAACATTACTCGGAACGGCGCAACGGTTCCGTAGATATTTCCAATCAATTTCGGAATACACCTTCTCGGGGCGGCGCATCTGACGGGGTGAGTGAGGTAGCTTTTTTTGGTCTTTTAGGACATGGGGTGGAGGGTTTTACACGTCTACCTAGATTCACTACGTTGATATGATAGAGTAGAAAGAATTATCGAAGAATATATGTGGAATTCAACTTGGAGAGGATTTGTTACTTTGTAACCACTTATTATTTGCAAGGGTCATTTGTGTCTTAGATAATATAATCGCCTAGAAAAGATTGTAATATTTTCGCTTCCATGCACCCAGTATTGCGTCTTTTAGAGACGAGTAAGAGTGAATTTTTGAAAAAAAAATTAAGAACCAAGAAAGACCGAAGAATTTACAAATTCTATGAATGGCCTATTCGCGGCTGGAGAGAGAATAGTCGCGAGCTCCTTCATGCGCCAACAGATTGTACAGGGTGAAAAAATTGAGTGTGTAGATTATGACGTAGCAATATGTAAACAAGTGTAATCGCGGGCGAGGGTCAGAAAGCAATGTATTCTATGCGGTAGACTTTGTGATGGCGGTAAGTTTCATAGGCGGTTTGGGCGTATCGCAAGAGGCAGCCCGAGTTTTGTTGGAAACACGCTGAGGCGCCCGTTCGGAAATAATGTCTTCCTTAAACACAGGAATATTACAAATGACATTTTTGCACTTTTATTACAATTTTTGGAGATTTTGGTAGTTCTTTGGGTGCTCCTACTCCTAGCATGCGTAGTCAAAAAAGGTGCCAGAACCGGAGAGAACTCTACGTAAAATCAATTGGGAGGGAATATAGGCAAGCTAATTATACCATATAATATCAAAGGGAAGTCGGAAATGTAGAAAAGGTTAATGCAAGCACGCTAATAATTGCTTTATTTGACGATTTAATACACCTTGCAACAAAATAATGGGTAAACTACTGCTGGCTTTAAATGAATGAAGTCGGCAATTAACCGTATGTTTCTAGAAAATGAGAAATGGGCCAAAAGCTAGGGAGTATATTAATATACTATTTAATGGGTACACGCATCAGAGAGACTGAGAGTGGCAAAGGTTTAACCGATGTAATAGCGGTGACCAGCTACTCGAGAATTTTGGGAGAGCGCCAGACGACGCTTGTGGAGAAAGTTTGGGAAAGTCACGTTATGATTTCAATGGTAGTACAACATATTTTAGTATAAGTGAGGAGATTTTATAACAGAAAGGGCTCGAAAGAAACAAAACTTAGTTGCATAATATCAAATTCGATACGGTTCCACTCTCACTATTGACGGGAAACACCGGGGTAAA